GCTTGTGGTTGGATACTGAGTGAGGATATTTTTTTAATTTATGTTTTGAAACGAAAGTTACAATTTCACTTTTGAAGTACCTATGTACTTTATTTGGGCAAGTATTTTCAAAATGTAAAATTTTATCACCGTATAGGTATACGATTGTTGTATAAGGTGTTGATGTTAAAGGAAATGGGTACTGACTGCTTAGGGTATTAGGTTGTTGATGGTATAGAGTATATGGTATATGGGTAGGTTATAAGGTGTTGATGGTTTAGAGCATATGGTATCGATTGGTTAAAGGGTGAGGGTAGGTGTTGTCTTATTTTTTCTCGATTTTATATTTTCTTTATATCTGCTTATAAATGCTGATCATGCCTTATTACTAAAAAAACTTAGACATAATTATTGTAGCGTGACACATTTATCAGTACTTAGACATAATTCTTTATATCTGCTTATAAATGCTGATCATTTATTGTTTGATTTGAACCTGCGTGTTTTTGCTCCGAATGATTTTGTAGTGGCGTGGTAAAGACAATCCGTCCAATTTAACTCTTCATTAATTCCCCCTTTTCTTTTCTTTTTTGGTAGAATAATTACCCCTTTTCCACTCTCTCAGTCCCCGCCGAAGTTGAAACAATCCCCTGTGATATATTTATCGTTCATTTTAACCCTTCACTTAATAAGAAAGCGAAATTATGCAAGATGGTCATCAATGTGATGAGCTTAATTGGTTAATTGTCTCTTATTTGCTTAGTCAATAAAGTAGAGGTTTGTGGTTCGATACTTAGTGAGTATCAATTTTTAATTTATGTTTTGAAAAGCAAGTTATAATTTTAATTTATCAGCGTATAGGTATACGATATTGTATAAGGTGTTGATGGTTTAGAGTACATGGTATTGGGTTAGTGTATTGATCATCTCCATCCCTAAAATACGATATTGTATAAGGTGTTGATGGTTTAGAGTATATGGTATTGGGTTAGTGTATTGATCATCTTCATCCCTAAAATTGAACAACAATTTCTAAACGAGGTCCCTACCGCCACATCATCAATTTTAGCAATTCATCACTTAACAATTTCTATTCATCTACATCCCTAAATTATGCTAGTAATTGCCAAGGTGGGTTCCATTTTATATTTCAAAGGAAACACTTATTATAAAATGAAAGTTGGGGATGGAGATAGAAGAAGGTGTTGTTGGTATACAGTATAAGGTCTTGAAGTTTATGGTATAAGGGAGGAGCAAGGTGTTGATGGTTTAAAGTATATATGTTATTGATTGGTTACGGTATAAGCCTATAAGGTGTTGTTATTGTTGTAGAGTATATGGTATTGATTGGTTCGTGTATTAGGGTTTGGTTTAGGGTTTAGGGTTTGGTTTAGGGTTTAGGGTTTAGGGTTACAAGTACATGTACCAAATCTGTAGATTAATTTTGGTAAACGAAAAAGTTAGTTAATCTACAAAGCCAGTCTAAAAGCACATCCCCATCTCCCGCCGTCAATTCCTAAATTTTCGTTTAATCCGATGGTGAAAGAGCTTCAATCCTAACCGCGGCGTGTCACCCAATCAGATATTGCCGAATTCGGAAAGTCGCTTTTGCCCATAACCAATGCTGGCGTTACCAAGGCCGAGGCAGTGGTAGGGACTGTAATTTTCAGTAAATGTGAAGGGAGGGAAAGTAAAAGTAATTACGAGTCAATCTATAAATTCGTTAATCAGTGAAGGAGAGACCGTGCTCCGATCCCTGAAAAGAACCCTTTCTTCCATCTTCTCAATATGAAACTCCGAAAATCAACCCCATCCGCCTCTTCGTCCTCCTATCCCATGCTTTATTTTCGGGTGCAGTGGTAATGATGAGACTGCGTATTATTTTAGATCTCATTTCCTTTAATTATGTCATTGTTAGATCATGACTGTTAAACTAAATCCTTCGTTGTATTGTTTCTCCTTTTCTCTCCATGCAGGGTCTTTGTTAGAGGCAGGGAGGGGAGCAATGACAATAAGTCGCCGTCTGAATATAGCCAAAAGAATCATCACATGTTGTTGCGATTCCATAATAGGTGTTGTGGAACCCTACGTCATGTGGTGTTTCTTTTGCGCCATATTGACGCGTACTTGTTGATCATGCTCCCAAATTGTTTACAAGATAGGAAAGTTGCCATATGTATAATAGGATAAAATAGGGAGGGAAAGTACAGCTTTTTGTTTTTGTTGGACTCTATGTAACATTTGTTTATATTTGTATACTGTTTTGTTATTTTTTCTTCTGCTTCTCTCTTCGCTTCCATGGCGGCTTCCAAAAGTGTTTGAGATCTTCTAAATACGGGAGGGATCCTCCACTCCCAATAAAAATACTGTACTTTGTACTATTAGCGTTTGAGATCTTCTAAATCTGCAGGGGATCCTACACTCCCAATAAAAATACTGTACTTTGTACTATTAGCGTTTGAGATCTTCTAAAATCTGCAGGGGATCCTACACTCCCAATAAAAATTATGTACTTTATTTGTTTACTACTGACTCCATTTTTAGAAGTCTTTACGATTGGCCCAACCGGATTTTTTGCCGGATTTCGAACTCTGCTCCTCTGTCGCCACATGCTCTACCCATTTAATGAGTGCTCAAAATTTAGTGCAAAAAATACGATGTAATAATTGAATAAAAAAAACTAGTTCTCAAGATTATTCAACTGAAATGTTGCACATGATTTATAGGGTCGTTTGGATGTGGAAATTTTAAAACGTTGAAATTTGTCTGAATTTCCATGTTTTACAAAACCAAGGAATTGACTTGTGGAAATTGAAAAAAAAACTCACGTTTGGATAAGGTTTAGTTTTGTGAGAATTGATGGTATGGAATTCGGAAAAAGAAGTAAGAAAACGTGGTAATGTCAAATTACTAGGGGGAGGTGTAGTATTCTCAATTACCATGAATGTGGTAATTGAAGCCAATTTCCATGAATGTGGTAATTGAAGCCAATTTCCATGGTCCAATTTCCATACTATTTTGGCTCTCCCAAACGTGGGTTTTTAACCCAATTACTGCATTATGTGGTAATTGGGTCAAATTACTGCATTACATTTCCACATCCAAGTGCTTAAAAATTGCCATCAAGTGACCATTAATGAGTGCATAAATTAAACGACACCGCAAGAGCCAACAGTCTTCTTATATACCAAACGACTCGGCATAGGAGGACTTCCAGTTTCAGTTCAAGTTTCCAACACCGAGCAAATATATGGTCCCAATTCCCACTTTCACTCCCTTGCCACATCAGCTTGCAATTCTCAAGAATTGCACCATTGGAGATGGTCTAAATAAGCAAGGTGTTGATGGTTTAGTGTATATGTTATTGATTGGTTCGTGTATTAGGGTTTGGCATTGCAAGAAGAATTCCTAATTTAGCAATCTTGCTAGTTTAGAAAAAATTTCCTAGGTGGCATTGCAATCTTGCTAAATAATGGTGCCACCTAGGATTCCACTAAATAAGCAATGGGTTGGATTGGTTCGGGTAAGACCATCTCCATCCCTAGCAATTTCTAAACGTGGTCCCTACAGCCACATCGTCATATTTAGCAATTTCAGTTAAAAGAATTGCAAACCACCTACATCCCTAAGTTTTCTTTGTAATTTCTAAATAAGCAATTGCCTCTCAATCCCTTGCAATTGCCAATTGAGTTGCCACCTAGACTTTGCCAATTGCTAAAGGTTGGTTTAGCAATGGGATGGAGTTGCTCTAAGGTGTTATTGTTGTAGAGTATATGGTATTGATTGGTTCGTGTATTAGGGTTTGGTTTAGGGTTTAGGGTTTGGTTTAGGGTTTAGGGTTTAGGGTTACAAGTACATGTACCAAATCTGTAGATTAATTTTGGTAAACGAAAAAGTTAGTTAATCTACAAAGCCAGTCTAAAAGCACATCCCCATCTCCCGCCGTCAATTCCTAAATTTTCGTTTAATCCGATGGTGAGAGAGCTTCAATCCTAACCGCGGCGTGTCACCCAATCAGATATCGCCGTTTTCGGAAAGTCGCATTTGCCCCTAACCAGTGCTGACGTTACCAAGGCCGAGGCAGCGGTAGGGAGTGTGATTTTCAGTAAATGGGAAGGGCTGGAAAGGCAAAGTAAATTTATGAGCTCATTTATAAATTCTTTAATCAGAGAGGGAGAGACCATGCTCCGAAACCCAAGAGGCACTCATCTCCTGCTGTTGTCCGTTCCTCCTCTCAATCCCTGAAAAGACCCCTTTCTCCCATCTTCTCTACCCTGAAAATCAACCCCTTTCTCCCATCTTCTCAACCCCGAAAATCAACCCCATCCGCCTCTTCGTCCTCCTGTCCATGCTTTATTTTCGGGTGCAGTGGTAATGATGAGACTGCGTATTATTTTCGATCTCAGTTCCTTTAATTATGTCATTGTTAGATCATGACTGTTAAACTAAATCCTTCGTTGTATTGTTTCTCCTTTGCTCTCCATGCAGGGTCTTTGTTAGAGGCAGGGAGGGGAGCAATGACAATAAGTCGCCGTCTGAATATAGCCCAAAGAATCATCACATGTTGTTGCGATTCCATAATAGGTGTTGTGGAACCCTACGTCATGTGATGGTTCTTCTGGGCTACATTTACGTGTACTTGTTGATCATGCTCCCAAAATATATACAAGAGGGGAAAGTTGCCATATGTATAGTATAAAAGTTGGAGGAGGGAAAGTACATTGTTTTCTTTTTCAAGATTTGTACTTTTAGTGTTTGAGATCTTAATAATATATCGGTGAGGGATCTTTCACTCAATAAAAATATTGTAGTTTATTTCTTGATTACTGCCTCCATTTTCAGAAGTCCTCTGTCGGCGAATGCTCTTGTCATTTCACGCCCAAATTACATTTCATAATTTTAGTAGCCAAAATCCGATCTAATAATTCAATAAAAAAAAAACGAGTGAGAAAAATAATTCAACTGAAATGTTGCACATGATTTATTTGGGGAGCAACCTCCATATCGACTTCAATAAAATCCATCCGAACTAAATAAAACGACACCGTAGCAGGCAGTAGTCTTCTTATAGACCAAAGAGACACATAAATAAAACGACACACAAGTAAAACGACACCGCAGACGGCAACAGTCTTCTTATAAATCAAACGACGCCGCTTCAAGCTGATACTGGCAGTCTTCACATAGTCCATTAGTCCTAATCCGAATAGGATAAGGACGTCCATCTTCACTCCAAGTTTTCAACAATCCTTAGTTTGCTACTTCTTGTAACAGGCCTCTTCTGCAAAATCGATAACGACGATTTTAGACGTACAAAATTATTGGGTGCAACTGCATTGTGTAGACACGAACAATTATATCTTATTCTTACCCTAGGTTGCTCATAATCGTCGTCATCGTCATTTTCATCATCGTCATTTTCATCATCGGATGGCCCAGACCCAGTACACGTTTTTGCATTATGATTGGTAGAACCGCACTTACTGCAATGCTTTTGCCTTCTCTTCTGTACTGTTTCCGACTGATCTTGAGTGCTGGGAGGATCAACATCGGTGTCATCGCCACCGCCACCTTCTTCCGAAACACCATCATTCGGGGCATCACCGTTTGAGGTTGGCTTCACATAGCCAACAGGATGTGGGCATCGGGTCCTATAGTGGCCAAATTCACCGCAATTGCTACACTGTCGTGGTTCTCCTTTCTTCCTTTTAGATTTTTTAGCCCCCGAACCTTTAGCTTTGACTTGTAATGGATCCAACAAAATTTCATTCGCCTTCGGCCTATTAATGCCGGGTATGTCCACGTTGCCAGTGTCCACCATGTCCAACTTTTCACATAATGATTGAATTCCCTCACGAGCAATCTTGAAGCACTCACTAGATTTTGCCCCTTTTAACATTAGTTGTAAGCTGTGTTGTTGAATAGTACCATACCTGATTGACACAAGATTTTATACATAGTGAGTAAAATTAATGTTCACCTAGCTTCGAACCAATACTAAAAAAAAAAAAATTAAAAGTGATAGTCATGGCAAACCTCAATGCGAAAAGTTGCGATTCATCTAGTCTGCCCGGTTCCTCCAAGCTCTCTAGTGTCTTCAGCTTCTTTGACCATCTTCGACGTACAAGGCCTTCAGGAAGTTCCAGTATGCTCTCTTCTTTCAGTACAAAAATCATATGACGACATGGTATTCCCATATAACTGTAGTGATTACAACTACATTCCATTGCAAAGGGTTCAACTGCGTACGTGACTTGAAAAACCTTAGCCATGCCAGACACCTTGACCTTGTACACATGCTCAATTTCCGATCGCTCTGTCTCCAACCTTATGCAACATGCCGACTTTTCAACCTCGTCTCTGAATAAGAAGAATGCGTTCTTTGTGAAAACCGCCGCTCCACTCTTCTGAAGTGAGACTAAGACATTGCTTGTGATGGTTCGTTCTCGATGAATGGATTCAAAATCAGCATGACGCTCATTCTCCCTCATATCCCTAGTCCAACGATCAAAGTGAATAAAGAACTCAAGGAGATTTTTATCCTTCTCGATATAATTGGCAAGTTGAGAGTTCAGTCCTTCACATCTTGATGTTGTACTCAAGCCTGCAAAGAAGTTCGAACGCAAATATGCATACTCCCATTCATGTCTTTGGTCAAATAAATTGGAGACCCAATTGTTGTGCTGAAGGGAGCATTCCTCAACCACTGTTTTCCACTTTTCTTCGAATTCTGAAGGTTCCCAGTCAGCTGACACAAAATGCTTCCATTGGGGCAAAAAAAGTAGGATGATTCTTCACATTTCTGGTTATAGTCTTGTCTATATGCCAGGAACATAGACGATGTGTTGCATCGGGAAATACTTTCTGAATAGCATTACGCATTGCTCTATCCCCATCTGTAATAACAGTCTTGGGATCTACACCGCCTAGCCTTCTCTTCAAAGCTCCCAACACCCAAATATAATTGTCCTCTCTCTCGTTAGCCAAGAAAGCATATGCAAATACGCAAGTTTGCGAATGGTGGTTGACACCTAAAAAAGTTCAAACAAAGTTAGATTATGCAAACTTCTAGGGTTATTTTAGCATGCTCGGGATAATTCTATATGTCAAGGAAAAGTACCTGAAAAAATCACGAGAGGCATCTGGTAAATGTTCCTTTTGTAAGTAGCATCGAATGACAGTAATTCTCCAAAGCATGCATAATCAGCAACAGAAATACTATCGGCCCAGAAAATGTTAATAAGCCGGTCGTCGTCATCCTTCTTTAGTTCAATAACGAAATGCTCGTCCGCGCTGCATTTAGCTTGCAGGTAGGCTAGGGCTGTTGCGGCATCACCTTCACTGATTTGTTCTTTCCTCTCTTTGTCCACATAATTATATGCATCCTTCCTCGTGTACCCCAAATTTTCGTAGCCTCCTGCTTCTGATACGGCCAGATTCACAATTTGAGAAGTTTTCATACCTGCAGCTCTTCTAAAATTTATCGCTGCTTTCACTGCATCACTCATACGACGTTTCCCTTTCATGTAGTGTCTATATTCTCTGGGATCGTTTCATGTGTGTGTACATCATCAAACTGGTGCACATACCACTTCCCATCGACATTGTGTTGTTTAACACGCATCTTGGCTCTGTAGTTAAATCTGGTCTCCCCTCTTGCTTCTCTCTTTCGTTCTGTGCTCTTCACGCGCCTCTTTCCCTCGCCAGAGCATACATAGTCACGCCATATCATAACTTTGTTCTTATCACGACCAATGTCTGATTTTCTGATGTCGAAGCCTTTGACTAACCCGTAGTCCATGTAGAAATCATAGGCTTCTTCTGTATCATCGAACTTCATTTTTTTAATATCTTCAGGCTGTAGCAATATGAGATCGGCGACATTATCTTCCTGGGTGGTGTGACTGGTTCCGGCACCAGCGTTTTCTTGGACTCCCTCCGACGTCAATACTAGGACTCCCTCCGACGTCAATGGTGAGTCTGCCTCCGACGTCATTGTCACGGCTGGAAATTTTGGGGAACCAAGGACGTAGATTACAAAACCCTACTGGGAATGATGGCCGAATTAATGATTCAATGGGCCACTTAATAATTATCCCCATTAATAACACGATTTGTGATATCTTATATTTTTGGTAGGAACGAGTTGAACTTTCTGTTCTTTATCTTAGTGATTTCTTTACCATTTTCACAAATAACGAAAATATTTAAAATGAAAAACCTTTCGTAGTAAAGCCAAACGCCAGCTGACTCTAGGTGTCCTCAAGTTGTATGGGGAAGGATCAAATATTAATATGAGCGAATATTTACTAATAGCACTCAATTCTTTATTCAATCGAAAAAAGTATCTTTTTACTTTTAGGTTTAATAACTACCCATGTTTATCCCAAGTTCATTTACCTTAGACTAAACCCTAACTATTTTTCCGCGGGAAAAATATGGCGCCAAAATTTATCCTAACCTTGTATATATAATTAACCTTCATCGGTAGAGCAGTGGTTCCATATCCTTCTTTGCCGCGATTTTGAGTACAGAGTAAAGCTTAGATCAGAGGCACAACATGGAAAATAGGAGACTTACTCGCTCTTCGTCCAAGCTTGTGGTATGTATAATAGCTCTTTTTACCATTGAAATTCATTCTAGTTAATTTATTAATCGCAGGTTCACTGTCATTGTAGGAGACAGCCGAATTTTTGACTCCAACAAAGAAACCAAGGATACCCAAAGGTGTCAGCACTCCACCCACTCCTGCTTCAGTCATCGTTTTTATTTCGGACGATGAATCTGACTCTGAGGCCACACCAAAGAAGCCAAATGGAAAAAGTATTTGTCTACCTTCGGTTGACAAGGTAATAAAGGTGTCATGTTTGCCATTGAAGTGTTCATTGCCGTTATTCCGTCATAACGAATGCATTTCAACTCGTGTTTATTTGTGGCCCCTATTCCAGGTTGTTTTGAAGTTTAAGCTACCTACCGCTATGGAATACGATGATGAGCAAATCCAGCTTGCTCACTATATATTCTTAGCCCATCTGCCACCTGACGAAGTATTGGTCAAAACCTCCAACAACTCCTGTACGAGGAAGTCATTGTGGTCCTTAAGCCCTCGCTCGTTCGTAGATGCTGATGTAATCAACGGAACTCCAAAATTTTGTTTTGTTTGTCCACTATCAATGCTTTCTACGTAGAATTATTTTATAACAACTCGATAGTATCATGAAGTGTTTTTTGTCCATGTTATATTAGGTTATAACAGCGATGGCCTGCCACTGGACTCTAGAAGAGTTGTGGACAAATTCCAAGGACGGAAAAGGAGTGTGCTATCTGCCTGCTGAACTACAGGTTGTGGTCCGATTATACTTAATGACAATTTCCTCTCACCAAAAAAATTACAACACATGTTTTTTTAACGTGAATCATATTGTGTTGACAAAATTTCAATTGTGCAACTACCACATGGGCAGGAACTAGTGATTTCATGTGGAATAACACCCAAGATGGCATTAGACCTATACCAATCAAAATTCCTTAGTCGAACCAATATGGTGAACAAGGTAAACTGTTCGTCTTAATAAGTATTACATGGTTTGCAGTTTATTTTTTTAATACGTGTTGACAATTTCCGCATATGTAGGTGTGTGTTCCGATGAGAGATAATGCCCATTGGTACTTGGCTGTCATCAAGTTGGACAAGGAAGAAGTCCATATCTTGGATCCACAACCAAATGAAGTCCGCAATTCCTTTCGACTACAATCTGTTCAAACAATGGTAAATTTGTGACATTGTGCCGTTATAACGCAAAAAAATGTAAATAACTCTTTCTAAGTACAAACGTTTCTTAATTTGTACAGATGAGCTTTATGGAAGCCTTGTGGAAGATTCTCTGTCGTGAACAAGGATTGTCGCCATCAAGGATTGCGGAGTTTGCGTACCCAACTCCTTCAAAGGATCAAGAACAACTTAATCGGTAAGTATGCCCATTTTTTTTGTGATATTAAACGACGTCTTATCAACTTGGTTCTTATCACGCAATGCTTTTATTTTATGTAGGTCTGACAGTGGAGTCTGGGTATGCATGTGGATGTTTGGCGCGAGCTGGGACTCCTCTTATATTTGGGTAAAGACAATTCTAATTCGCAAAATTAGAAAACCACAATTGATTGTTATTTTTGAATCATGCGGTAAGCACCATGTTTGTTGATGTTGATAGCCATGCACTCAAGTGAGGAGGATGCAGATCGCTTTGTACCTTGTTCGAGAGCCCATGAACTACATAAGGCATATGGTGCTCACGGAAGCAAGAAGAGTTGCACCTCAAGTTGAAGCTGCAGTGGAAGAGTACAAGACAACCCATGAAAAGAGGAAGAAGGAAAGATAAGAGCACAAGGAAACCCAGTCAACGAGCCCAAAACAACCTGA